GGAGGTTATCAAGCCTGCAGATGGTCATGGCCCTCTCAGCTGCAGAAACTGGATACCTGATGTGAGGGGTGGCAAGATGCTTGCCTGGGCAGAAACAAAGGCGTGGCCAGAGTGCCAGGGTGCTTGGGGTTGAATGAAAGTGGGACCTGGGTAATTTTAAGCCTGGGAATTGTGAAAAGAAACTATTACAGAACTTCATTATGTTAATATCATTTTTCTGACCGGATCCACTTGATAACCCTCGCAAATCCCAATGATGAGTCAATTTTCTGTTGTCAGTGCCAGCACAGAGTGAGACTAGAGACAACAAAGCAGAGAGAAATGCTGAGACAGCCTAATGAGCATACAGCTCAGCCTAAACTACTTGGTGTTTTATTTTGTTCTTTTAATTCTTGAAAAGAATTAGAAAAGGATGGCAAATTTCATCAGAAGTAAAACAAAACCACAAGGGTCTTTGTCTGTGGATTAAGCGTTTTCAAGAACTAGCGAGAATAAATGTTTTCCTATTTTCATTCTGTTTTCTGTACCTTAGGACCAAGCCACATGGGATATTTGCTGAAACCCCCTAGTTTTCTTATTTGGACTCTTATTTTAGAGAACTTGTTTAGGTAACTGTGCATCCCAGGGAAGGAAATTAAGGTCAGAGATGAGAAAAACCCACCTAAGGGCCTGAAATGCCTTTAGTTTCTCAAAGACCACCCTGTGTGGGAATGATAGATTTAAAAATGGGTGGAACCTCTAAGCCTGGAGTTGTATCAAGTTATTCATGAAAAATCTCTGAGATCTTTGTGTGGACCACGATATTTGGGTGGTACTTTCCCACTCTTTCTTCAGAAGAGGCACTGTGGCCACACAAACTGAAAACTAGTCCTGCTTTTTCTCTGGCTTTAAAACTAACTATGTATCTTGAAAAGCTGTCTCAGCAGTAGTGAAGGAGTGGAAAAAAAAGTGTATTATATCCCTATGGTTTCATAGAGTGCAGCTGTGCTAACAGAGTGCATTGAGACTGAGACCAAAGGAAAGGCATGAAATAGTCCGTGAAATGATCAGCTGAATCTAACAGGGAAGCTTCACGCAATGGGGAGATCTATTGTCCAAGTATCCTATTGCAGATGGGAGGGTTTTGTCTGTTTTTTGGGGTTTTTTAGGGGAAAAAAATCCAGAATAAATTCAAGCCCTTTGCATTAATAAATTTTTTACTGAAATCAATGGGAAAGTGATTTTCTGATAGGAAGTCTGCCTTACTTTGAATTAAAATCTTTAAATATTGTTACAATATACTTCGATTAAATATCCATATTCTGTAGGATTAGAAGTTTTGATTTTACTTCTGGTTGAATGTCTGTGAGATGATGATCAGATTTGAAAACAACCAGATCTCTAGATTTATTAAATCAGCTTTTAAAAGTATTGATTTTTTGAAAGAAGCAAGCATGCATCAACATACAGCCTTTGAAAGTCCCTCCTAGGCCTTGGGGTAATTATTAGTAGTACACGAATAATGGAGCAAGTATCGACCAAATGTAATATACAGTTGCCATAGTGGAGCTACTCCCGCTGTGTCAACTCTAAAGTATAAGTGGTTAGTTTATAACCATCTTTAGGTTAAAACATTTTAACATTTCTTCAGTGTTTATTTAGTCTCTTCCCAAAGAATGTCCTGAAATACTGAGTTTATAACCTGTGGCTCATGTGATGGTAGTGGAAACAATTAAGCTAGAAGCTTTCAAAGCCACCACTGGGATTTTGATGCCCAAACTCATTAGTTTTAGTAAGAAGTGAGCTACCAGTCATCTTAAGTGGTTTCTAAAATCTCAACCCATTAAAACACCTCTCTACTGGTTCCAGTTTACTAGGAGCTCAGAGCAAGGTAATACAAAATAGTAGGTGTTAAAAAGTGGAAAATATGTGTTCAGATGTCCTTAAGACCATTCAGGCAACCAAACGGCAGCCCCAGCCTTGATGCAGATGCGGGTTGATGTGAGGGCTGCTTCTACCTTCAGCATCTCAGAGAATTACTGACTGATCAGAATATGAGGTGCAGTTTCAGTGGCAAGGAGAAGAAGAAGAAAGAAGAAAGTCAAAGGAAATAGAAATCTTGGCAACAGCTCAGTTCCAGCTGCGATGATCCCATTGTTTGTCTACTTTGGGATCTCATGTCTGCTCCATGCTCTTGCCTTCTTAACGTGTTTCTGCCCACCACAGCCTCGTGGCCAGGGTAGCACTCTTCTCCCCAGTGTGCAGATGGATGGCTGGGTTGCAGAAAAACCTGGACGAATTCACACCACACAGTGAAGAGCAGAGTATCCAGAGCAGTACCAGAAGAAGCTGTCTTTGGGCAGTATCAACCAGCTTGTATTCCCATTGCTTTGGCATAAATGCAGCAGGCAATGAGGACGGGGCTTTCTTGCCACCTGTTGCTGCCTGCTGCCATTGCAGTTACCCACATGGCATCTGTAGGAGCTTGGTCCAGGTCCTTCCTACCCACCCAACCCATCCTATCCGAGTTCACACTGTGTTATCTTCTAGGCTTCTAAATGGCTGCATTTGCATGTTGATACTTCACTGATCCACATCGTGATTGGATAAAAAATAAGAACTGTCTGCTGTGGCCTGAGGGACCCACCCAATGCAAACCTGTGAGAGCCTTTCCTTTTACATGAGTCTGGAGATGGCTTTGCTTCAGCCATGAGCCTACATCACAGCCTAAGAAATCTTGAAGGCTTTGGAGAGCACCAGGTTCTCTCAAAGAAAGTTGCTGCACTGATGAAAACTCATCCTTAATATGGAAGAAAGTCTTAATGGGGAAAAAACTCCAGAACCAGAAGATCTCTCTGTGATGTAAATTAGAGCATGGAATGAGTATTAATGAGTTTGAAAAGGACTCACTGAGAGTCTGAAAGCTAGGAAAAATATGGGATTTTCTTGTTTCTTCTATTAATGAAAGCAACCTTTGAGAATTTTAGAATTAGTTTAAACAAGTGTCTTTCTTTTCTATATCTGCCATATGATCTCTGAAGAATTTCATTAATGTTGGCTACAAGTGATGAAGTTACTATGGTTTTTGCCAGTGAGTCTCATAGTAGCAACAATTAATTATCAGTAGCTATTGGAAGGACCTTTGGGTGAAACGTGGTGCAGTGGAAATAGAGATGACCATCTCGACTGCTATTGTAATGGACTTCAAAAAAAAATCAAAAAGAAAAAAAGCTGCCATTAGTAGTAGATGTGACTTTTTTGGAAGAGAACAAAATGTTCCATAAATGAAACATGTGGTTTCACTCGCAGCACATTTTGTACATTGTCACCAATGGAGTTTAGGATTTTTTATTACTTTTTCATTAAAATGTCTTACTGGTTTCACTCAGGAGGCAAAATTTTTCACGTGGCTTTAATTGTTTCTGTCATAAAAAGTCATAGCATCCGTGTAATAGAAATAGTTTTGCAGACCACAGCTTCATGTTGCCTATTAATTCTCTCACATTTTCTGTACCTACAACTCATTAGGCCATCACAGAGACAGAAGTTCCTGTCTTGCAATTAAGACCAAACAGGAACTTCTACTGAAGTTTAGCGGGGAGAAAATCACTCTGTGTCAGTACCTGTTTATTAGATTTTTGTTTCAGATATCTTAGCTCGCAAATGTAAGTTCACAAAGCTGCATATCAAAGGAGAGAGTTTGTATTGACTTTTTTCTAAAACTAGTGAAACTCTAGGAGATTAAAACAGTAAAAGGCCTTTTTCTGCATAGTACTAGTAGATGCAAGAGGTGGTGGTATTTCAAACAGGAGTGAAGAGCTTTGGCAGTATTGTTTCAATAGGCTTTGGCCAGGTCATTTACCCCCTTTTTTGCTTCATTTCTACCTTAAACAAAAACTACTAGAGTTCAGGTCTCACGTATCCCATCCCAGCAGCCTAGCTATTATTAGACCATGCTTCTGTCATCAGTCTGGGCTTCCCTGTCACCAATCCTCACTTGGATGAACAGGCATAATTACTGTTGCAGTCAAAAAAATTACTTGTTTTCCACAGATGATGTCCAAAGTTGGAAAAAAAAAAAAAAGGAACTAGTGTCATCTCATTAATTTAAGATCAGCTTTTGTTAAGGTATCTGTTTTCCACAGAGTCACAGTTTTGCCATTTAACCTTCAGCCCAGTGAGGGAGGTGACATTGACCCCTGCTGCAGCCTCTGAAGCCTGTAAGAAGTAATTAAATGCTAAAAACCAGCAATAGCATATCAACTGCCTTTTCAACCTTTTTTCTGTTTAGTGTTTATTTGAAAGCTTCCTAGGAAATGCCACTGCTGTCTTTATTTGCTGCCCCAGAGCAAAAACTTTTCTCCCAGTACACCTTCTTAGCTCTTAGGAGCACCCACCAAGTACTGTAGTCTCTGCGTTCACTTTTCCTTAGCACGATCCCTCACTTACTCATCAAGTGTTTAAATGTTGGGTTTTGCAGTTCAAGGACAACAAAGACAAGCCCAGCCTTGGAAGGGTCCTCAGCAACAGCCCTGCCTCCTGTCCAGCTTTCTGAGCAGATCCCACTGACATCTCCTTCCCTGAAGCCCCTGCAGATGGACGAAGAAGACAGCCTGTCTCCTCACCTCCTGTTGCCAGATAGCATCAGCCAGCTGGAAGAGTTTGGCAGACAGAAGAAATGGCACAAGAAGCAGCACAAACACCTTCGCCAGAGACAGTTCAATGACCTCTGGGTTAGAATAGAAGACAGGTGAGTCGTAACTTTTATGGTCCCTGTCCTCTTCCTGCTGTCTCCAAAGTAGCTGCTCTTTACAGATAGCAGTTCTTGTTGATTAGACCAGAAGGAGGGTTGGAGAAAAGCTAAATGGTAGAGATGGGGAGTGAGGTCATGTTTTTGGAGCGTAATGAAGAACTAGGAGGAAGTCTCATGGGCACATTTGATCTAAAAGTAAAGAGAAAAAAGCTAATGCTTAGAATATTTAAAATATACAGAAACAAGACTTATCAGAATAAAAACATGAAAAAATTACAATGGAAAATATTTTGTGGTTTCCCTTTCTTTCAATAATTATTTTCCAATCTTTACTGTCAGTTTTCAGTCCAAAGACTCACCCATTTTCCAACTGTACAGAATATTCCAGGGACTTTTTAAGATTCTGACATATCTGACTTTCAATCTTTTTAACTGTGTTCTGGGGCTGAAATGTTTTAACATCTCAGACTGCACTGAGAACAGCAAACTGGGGCAAAATTAAGTACTTAACTAAGGCCTCTATGTGAAGAGAATGGAGGTAGGCACATTTCCGTGGCCATTCCAGTCTTGGTCCAAGGTTAAACACTCCCATTCAGTGTTTGAATAAGAGCCTTCATGTTTGACAAGGGCTTCTCGATGTGTGCTTTTAGGATTCCTGGGCAATTTATTCTCCCACTGCTCAAAATGGGAAAGCTCTTAGTGCCTTTATCCAGGCCAAGTCATGGGCAGATAAATAGCCACAATGTTCATAGATCTCCTAACAAGTAAAAGAAATAAAATAATGTGTTGGGAACTGGCTGCTCACCTATACATGTAATGATTGTCTTTGAGCATTACTCTTATTCCCATTTTCATAGCACCTAAATTCCTTGCAGAGTCAGAGTCTCTCAGAGATTTCTCCCTTTGCTAAGGAAAAAACTCCACATATTTGTGGTTTTTTTATTTTTATTTTTATTCATTCTTTATAATGAGCAGTTGCCTCATTGTTTTTTGTAGTTTATTGTATTCTCAGGGTGAGTCGTGTAAGGGTTGTTATTAAGGTGGTGCGTATTAACGTAGTAAGACTATTTCTGAGGTTAATGCCAGCCTTGGTATAAAGGATCCACATGTTCTGTTCTCAGAGTGTGTTCAGTGGTTGGATCCTCTCCACAGAGAATGTTTAGGCATGAACTAAGAGGCATTTGGTTCAAGATAGTTGATTGCCTTGAGGATAAGGGACTTTTCTATCTTTCTTCTGTCTGGGGTCTGCCAAGTCGTGGTGTCCCATGACATCGTAGCATTTCACAAAGGTGTCTGATCCAGCTCACCGTATGTGTCATACAAGTGAGGTGCTTAAATAGCTCTGATGGGAGCCTGGCAGTTAGGCACAATCCTCTTGCCCCCATCCTACCTATCCAGAAAGGATATTGGATATTGGGCCTGATATGGCTGTTAAAAAGTGCAGCGGGGGGCTTAAAGCAGTGATGCTTACATAACTGGTCGACTTTTGTACCTTTTGCTGTTTTTATTTCAGCAAGAAATGATCCTAGGAAAAATATTTTGAAGGGTAGTTCCCCAGGTTAAAGTTAAATCATTCACTCTGTGCTCCTGTGAGTTTTCATCTGAATCAAAACCTTTTATCCCTCTACTTCCATTTCGTAAGGGTGGATATAGGGATAAGGAAACATGAGTTTCCACTCCCACCATGCTGGTGATGAACCAGACACTGTGTGTTGCCTGCCTTGCTGAAAGATCCCAGGGAGATATTAGTGGGAGATCACAGCCATCTGTGATTTCCTGAAATGAGGAAAGACTGGAAGAAGGGAAGTCTGCCTTAGTGCTTCAGATGATTTTAGTTCTACATTTCTGGAGTAACTTCTGGTGTTTTCCTGGAAACAAAGCAAAACAAAAAATACAAACTGTTCAGCTAAATCAGAGACTCACAAACAGCTCTGGTTTCCCCATAAATTGGATGGGGTCTCAACTTTCATAAACCAGCTGCTGCATATTGTGCTTTTGGCAGTTGGGTTTCATCAGCATTAATTGCAAGCTGGACCTTGCACAAGGCAATAAACAGTGAGTTCACTCTAACTGATTCCTTTCTGATTGGCAAGAAAAAAGCAGAAATGTGTGCCTGTCACCAGACTTTGTAGTGTGGTCATACTTGGGAGGAAACAGCTAGGATAGCTAATAATATGGGCAACAGAGTGTTACCTGTGCAGGAGAGAAGCATGTGAACTTACATTGTGTTGCCTCAATAATGTCCAACAACACTCAACAGTGAGACTGTTAGCACTCATTTTTGGAGGATAATTGGTGTACTACAAGTTCACACTCTGTCCTGTCCCATAGATCCACTGTGCATTTGCATATACTTAAATTGGAGGCCTTCGTGCTCTATATGGACTGAGATCTCTGCATATAGTGTTACCTTGAGCTATGGCCCCATATTTCAAAATGGTTCTTCTTCCAGTTTGAGTTTCCTAACTCATCTGTTGTCACCCGAAACTTGACTTGTTCACCTTTGAGACAAAGTAGAGGGATTTAGGTCATTGTTACAGCTTTTGGGTGAAAGCTGTATAAAACTCATTGTTTCCATGCAAGGTCTCCATAATTCAGCTGTTTGAGCTGCCTTTCAACCTGAAAAGTCAAAGAGAAATATACAGGTGGAGGACAAATCCGGGCAAATTTAAACCAGATTATTGATTCTTGCATGAACCTCATTGAACTGTGAAATGACTGTGGTTCATACAGCTCTTTTCCAAAGCTTTATTGACCATGGATTAGAGGACTTTATGAGCCATGAATTGCAGGGCTTTTATGGACTATGCATTTCTAGGCTATCTCATACACTTCCATGGAAATCTTGGGGTGTTTTTTTAAGCTACCAACACAGAAACAAAGGAAATGAACACAGGAGAACAATCTTAAAGGAACATCAAAGGTCTGACTCCAACCTATAAAAGCCAGGAAATCCATAATTAATGGTTCCACTAAAACTTCAGCTCACACAGTCATTTGGGCCTAATCTGAGGTTATAGCTACAATCTGAAATGGCCTTGTGAAAAAATGAGTCATCATTTAATGTCACACATCATTATTAGTATTTACTTTCAGTTATACCTTGGAGATTGTCCTTTCCTTTTTGATCTGTCTTAACAGCTGAGGCATTTGAGTTGGCACCCCAGAGTGGATGGTGTTTAGATTTGTGTGTTGGAGGGTTAGTACTGCTGTGGAGGATGAGAAAGTTTCTGCTCTGTCTTCTCCCTGTCTTTGACAGAGCTAAGATTTGCTGATCTCCTGGGTAATCGGCTACACTGAAGGCTATTAAAAAGTAAAAAATGCTGATGAAATGTGTGGTTTCCTCTCCCTTCTGCCTCCTTCCCCCAAAATCTAAACAAAATTAAAAAGTCCTGCCCGGCTGCTGTTTGTGTTTGAAGTTGTTTGTCAAGAATAAAAATTAAATGGAGATTTCAAGTAGCAGGATTTTTTCTTTAACTACTTGATTTTGCAGAAATGTGCAGACCTGAAGTCCGTCTTTGGGAAGAATTTGAACTTAGACAAAACTTAAACCCTAGCTAGCTCCCGTAGCCAAAAGCCAGCTGGGGCAGCAGGCAAGGGAGGCAAAACCCTTGGGCTGGAAGGCTGCAGTTTGGCATACAGAGTGTGTTATTGTTCCTGTTGACACTGTGTTAGCTAATCTTCTCCTTGTAATATAAAGAATTAATTACAGATCATTCACTGGCTTTTCATGATGAGCTGCTCAGTTAATTGAAAGAGTAGAGAAATGTTTGTGAGTCAGAGCAGTCAGAGTAGTCAATGAAGGCCAGATCAGGATCATACCTTTGTTGTGGCAGGCTACGATTTAAGGCTACAAACAAAAGCAGCCCAAGAGATCAGTGAACCTCTGCCAGCTGGGGAGGAGCATTATAGTTCCTGGGGCCCTAAGGCAGGGTGGGAGGAAAGCTCCTGGGAAAAGGGAGGGAGGGGAGTTAGTAACTGGGAGGGTGTTTTGGGAGGTGTGAGGTTTGGAAGGAGTGATGGCAGCTGGGGGATGTGAAAGAGAGAAATACAGTGGTGGGAAGACAGAATTAGGATGTAATTAGAGAGGATGTAATGGGCAAATTCAGATGTTCATTCCCACTGCCAAAGAAAAGATCTGGGTGAAGATAATGTTTGGAAAGACACTGAGGACACACAGATGCTTCACTTGCATAGGAAAGAAATTAAAGGAAAAGAACTGTTATCAGAAGAGAAAAAAAGAAATTCTTGTCCCAGATGTAAGCTCAGCCCTGCAAAACCTGCCGTTAGTGGTAAATGAAATGAATTCTCCCTATAACTGGAAACGGCATTTCTCTGATAGCCCACTGCTGACTGTTCAACCCCAGATGAATGCAATAACGTCACAAATATCCATTTCTTTTGGAAGCAACAGTTATTTTAGGCCAAAAAAAAAGAAGTTACACCAGTGATGGATGAAGGGAGACAATGTGTAATGAACTGCACTAAGTGTGCCTGTATAGAGTGAACCTTATCAGTTTGGATGGAATTTAAGCACTTAAACTGTTATCCTTTCTTTCAAGACAATGCAGTGATGGAAAACAGAACTCTGTCATCTCAGACAAACTTTTAATTTCACTTAACTGCATCTGAAAGGTAAATTTCAGTAAATGAATCTAAATTGCTTCCTTTTCACAACACACGGTGCTGAAATACAGTACTTAACTTCATTAAAGAAATTACTGCTTTTCTTTAGAGGAGACCTAGACACTTTTGAAGTCTAACAGGTAAATTGTGGTCAGTGATTTCCCGCCATATGGTAGCTTTGAGCTTGAAATTTTCATCACTGGGGCCTTGTTTGTTTAAATTACTCTATCCACCTCCCTGGTAATGATACTGCTCGGAGTGTGCATGCCTACTCATGCTCATGGGGAAGGGGGATCACTCCCTCCTCCAGCCTATCTCAGTGCAGCCAAGTAAGCAGTTGCCACAATTGCGTTTATTTGCCCCGTGTCCAA